AGGACGACTGAGGCCCAGGAGGGAGGGCAGGGGAGGCGGGGCGAGCGCGGGGTGAGGGGTTGGGAGCGGGAAGGATGTGCTCCAAAGTGGTTGGCCCTGTTCGCGCGTGGAGTCCAGGGCGGGATACGGGTGAGGAGGGAGAAGGGGGAGAAGGAGTAGGAGGAGAGGGGCACGGAGAGAGGAAGTGGAGAGCACCAAGGAGGGAGGATAAGGAGGCAGGACGAGGTCTAGCAGGAGGTGGAGGGATGAAAGAGAGAAGAAGGGATGCGGCAGGGAGGAGGTAGGGAGGTTTGGGGGGGGATGTCGGTGCAAGAGGTAGGTGAGGTGCATTCGAGGGAGTGACCTCTCGCCACGTCTTCTGCGGGCAGATGATGAAGATGGACCAGGAGGGAGGGGAAGAACAGGGCAGAGGAGGAAGAGAGCAATGACGAGGAGGGACGAGGAGGAGGCAGGGGAGGGAAGAGGAGAAGAGGAGGATTCCTGAACATAGCAGACATCATGTAACACGTCTCGTGCTTTTTGAACCGTGAGCGGTATCCTAGGGGGCCTCCGCTGCCAAACGGCAAGTTGCTGCCAACTGGGGGGGAAGCAGAAGGTACCGATACCGCTGCTCCCCGAACCTCTCCCGGGGTGCGGTCTGACCAAAATTTCGAGGCGAATCCAGCGGTGGCGACGATGGCCTCCAAGGAGGCCCGCCAAAAGGGGAAACCGAGCGACGGGTAGCAGTACCAGTAGCAATATCGGTGCCTTGTCCTCCTCTGAAACATGCCGAGGTCGAAGGGCATCGCGTGCCCGTTGGGGCAAGACGCCCCCAGAGCGAGGGAAACTCGACAACAAGGCGCGACCGAACCCCGCGCGCGTGGCCTGGCGCAGCCACGGGCGTCCCTTGGCGACGCCACCACACTTAAGTCGGGCGTGTCCACCTACAGGCGGAATTTAGAGGACAAATCAACAATATGCAGCAAATGCTCACATATAGTCAAACAAATTGAAACAATCGTCCCCACACTTGTACATTTAAAAACTATTTTTGGATATGCCTCCTGTAGAGGGACACGCCCGACTGAAATCTAAACGCCTTCCACCGAACAACAACCGCAATCCTTCGCACCCCCCCCCCGAACACTCGACCGCAATCACAGTCACGGCCGCGGCGCAGGCGCCCCGTGGACGACTACGAAGAGCATCAACAAAACAGTTCGACGTGATCGGCCATGGACCCCTTGCTGCCCATCGCTCCTGCGCCGTCTCCGGCGGCATTCAGCGGACTCCAGGCGGTCTTCAGCGGTCTTCTGACGGTCTTCTGACGGTCTTCGGCGGTTTCCGAGGGTCTTTGGCGGTTCCCACCGGTCTGCGGCGCGACAGCTGGATGGTTGATTTCAACGAGGGGTCCATAATCGAACACCTAAAAAATGTTTACCGGCACCACAAACAACGATCAGGCACGCGTATTCGCTTTCAGCAGGTGGGGCAACGAAGAGATACCGATACCTCTACTCCCAGGCCCTCTCCTGGGGTCGGTTCTGACTAGAGTTTAGAGAAGCATCCAGCCGTGGCGACGAGGGCTCTCTGGGACGAGCTGCGGCAGAGAACATACGCCCTGGGAGAGCGCCACACGCACACACAGAACGCGGGGTAGGCCATGTCTCGGGGTGGGCTCGGCCAGCCTCGGCGGTGCGCCCCGGGAGAAGCGAGCGGGGGCAAACGTTCTCAAAAGGCGAGCGAGCGGGTTCTCAGAAAACGTGCGGCCTTCTGAAGGAAGCCCTCCGTGACCTCCAGAAGGCCTTCTGAGCCTTCTCGCGAGGCGGGACTCGCTTGCACGCCTCTGCGGCCCAGCGCTGCTCGAAAATGCAGCGGACAGGGGGGGGGAAGCCATGCAAGTACGCCTGCCTGAGTCCAGCGACAAACGAACATATACTTGATTGCACCCCCTCCTAGCATTGCTCACGAGCGGCGAACATATTCATATCCAAGCCTTCGCGATCTGGATTGGGGGCGGGCGCGACTGCGTTCCGCGCGGGGCATCCGCGAACAGAAAAAGCTCCACGTCCGCCGAGTCGCGGCTCAAGGTCAAGGGCCGGGCCGGCGAGGCCGCGGATACGGAGCTGTGCTTCGCCCACGAGTCCCAAACATGCGATGTCCTGATTTGTTCAATACAGTGGAGGCCAGTCAACGAGAAACCTTCCACACGAAACCCAACCTTGAGATCCGAGGAGGTCCATTGGCATTTGGTGTGGGAACGTCGCGCCTTCCATCGCAAAACCATTCAAATCGAAGAAATCCAGGGCGCCCTGGATGCAAGCAGGGTGTTTCTTGGCATGGGCCATTACTGTACGGTGCCAGTACCCCCTGAAATGTCGACCCTTTCCCCAGGACCCGTCTACCATCTTGAGCCGCTGATTGGGGGTCCTGGCGCCTGAGCAGGGCCCCTGGAGACACCGAAACAACGTTGAACATCCATCGTCTTTTTTGTTTGTTTGTTCGTTCACGACGCAGGCATCTCGGGGGATCTGGTTTCCCTCAACGAGTTGTCTCTGACGCAAGAAGGGCCAGGCGGGGAGGAGGAAGGCAAGGAGGAGGCGGAGGAGAAAGAGGAAGGAAGAGGAGGAGGACCAGGAGGAGGAGAAATGGAGGAGGAAGAGGAGGAGAAAAGCAAGGAAGAGGAGGAGAAAGGGAAGAGGAGAATGAGGAAGAAAGCGGAGGAAGGAGGAGAAGGAAAAAGGGAGGAGGAGGAGGAGGAGGAGGAGGAGGAGGAGCAAGGGCGCGACCCTCGGGGCAGCTCCTCCTCGCCGGCCGCCAGCAGCCGGCTTCGGGCGCCGGCGCCGGGCTTGGCGCCGAGGGCGCGGCCTGGCGCGGCGGTGCGCGCGGGCGCCGCACGGCCAGGCCCGGGGGGGCACATCGGCCCTCGAAGCTCGAGCCTTCTCGAGGCTCGAGCCTGCTCGATGCTCGGTCCTTCTCGGTTCTGCTCGGTCCTGCTCGATCCCTCGCGGTTCTCCTCGACCCTCCTCGGCTCCTGCTCGGCCCTTCCTCGATCCTCCTCGATCCTGCTCGATGCGTCTAGATCCTGCTCGGTCCTTCTCGATCCTTCTCCATCCTTCTCGGCTCAATTCGAGCTTTCTCGATCCTGCTCGGTCCTTCTCGATCCTGCTCGCCTCCTCGATCCTCGATCCTTCTCGGTCCCCGTGGAGCCTCGTCTCTCCTCGCTGCGCCTCCTGCCCCCCCCCCCCCCGCGACCCTCGAGGAGAGGCGCCGCGCGGAAGCGCGCGAGGCCAGCAGCCGGCCGCACTCCCGGCGCGCCGCAGGGGGCTGCGGGAGCTCACGAGCGGCGAGCGCGCGGTCAAAACGCGTACGTACGTACCCAGAGCTCCGACGCTCCGACAAAATTGGAGCGGCGGGATTTGGGCAGTCTTCGGCCTCTCGGGGGCCCCCGTCGGGCTTCGGGAGCGTCAAAAACGATTTTCAGGACGAACAGCCGGCCCCGGGGAAGTGGTCTGGACCGCCTGGGCTCACGCCTCAAAAGAATTGGAGCGGCTGGGAGTTCGGGAATTGAGATCGCGCGGTCAAGAGAAGGAGAAAAACAGCATGCACACAAACTTTTGGCGCTCCACGCGGATGTCTTGGATATCCGCGCTGGATCCCCCTCCCTGGCGCGCGGAACGCGCCAGGGGCGGCGCCGGAGGCGCCGCCTGGGGGGCTCAGCGCGGATCCAAGAAATCCGCGCGGAACGCTACCATTTTATGTTTATGGCATTTGTGTCGCCAGATGATCCAGGATGCTCCTCAAAGGTCCTCGCTGGGGGAAGATGCACGTGTCCAAGCGATGATAAGTTGTTCGCCAGATGATCCAAGAGGCTTCTCGATGGTTCTCGAAAGGAAAAATGCACTCGTCTAAGCGACGCCCAGGCGCAGTCTGGATTCTGGGGCGCGATCCCAAAGAGGCCCCAAGAGGCCCAAAGGGGCCCCAAAGCGGCCCCCAACCCCCAAGAGGCCTCAAGACTGCCTCCAAGAGGCCATTCTTGCCATGGCTCGGACGCCCCTTCCTCATGCTTTGTTGGTTCCGTTCGTGCTTCTTCCCTCGTCAAATGATCCAAGAGGCTCCACGATGATCCTCGCCGGGGAAACATGCACACGTCTGAAAATGCAGAGGCCCGAGCGATGCCCAGACGCCATTGAAATCTGGATTCTAGGGCGCGATCCCAAACAGGCCCCAAGAGGCCCCAAAGCGGCCCCCAGGAGGCCTCAAGACTGCCTCCAAGAGGCACCCGAAAGGCCCCCTACCCACGATATCCAAATGAACGTCTAATAGGCCTTCCACACAACCCAGGCACGATGGCGGGAGGGACCGAAGGAGATTCGACCTGCTTGGCATGGGGACGGAAAGCGCGTTTATTTTGTGAGGGCGCGAGGTCGCTGGCTTAGTGTCTTGGAGCCCTGTTGGTGTCAGGGCTTCGGTACGACATACAAAACTCTAGCAACCAACCTTGCGACAATACACTAATATTGCCTTTCCGGGCCTTCCTGGGGGTCCCTTGGGGCTCGTTTGTGCCTTCTCGGGGCGTCCCGAGATCCTCTTTGGCCGTCTTGGCGGGCTTGGGCCGTCTTGGGGCCCTCTGGGAGCCCTCCTGTGTCCCCTTGGGGACCTCCTGTGGCCATCCTGGGGCTCTTGGGAACCTTTTGGGACCCTCAGGGGTCTTTCTTGGGCCGTCTTGGGGCTCTCTTGGGCCGTCTTGACGCCCACTTGGGCCGTCTTGGTGGCCTGTGGGGCCGGCCTCCTGGGCCGTTCTGGACGCTGTGAAGACCAAAGAAGCTGAGATGCTAAACATGTAGGCCTTCTCAAGGGAATGGGACGATTGTTGCCTCTTGGGGGTTCCCTTTGGGGGCCTCTTGGGGGCCTCTTGGGTTGCCTGGAAACCATATTGAGCCCTCTTGGAGCGCTCTTGGGCCGTCTTCGGGCCCTCTTTGACCTCTCTAACTCCGTCTTGGAGGTATCTTGGGCGCTCTTGGGGCTGTCTTGGGCCGTCTTGGGGGCCTCTGAGGCGCTCTCGGGGCTGACTTGGGCCGTCTTGGGCCGAAAATTGCCGACATTAGGGCCATTGCTACCCCCCGCACTCCCGTGTTATCTCTCCCGGCTAACGGATCGCGACGCTACGCGCGCTTTCCGTAATCTGGGTGCGGGCTGCCTACCCACCCCCAAAAACCCCCTTGCGATTTCTCCCGGCAATCGGATCGCGACGCTGCGCGCGCTTTCCGTCATCTGACGCCCCGGCTGCCTACCCCCCCACCCCTCCCCTTGCTATTTTACCCAACTAACGGATCGCGACGCTACGCGCGCTCTCCGTCATCCGTATCCGCGCCCTCGCGGCCTGGATTCTGGGGCGCGATTCGGCGGTGAGCGAGGGGGGGATATGAGAAGGAGAAGGCCCTCTCAGAAGGCGGCGGGACTTCTCAGAGCCCCTCGCGCCTTCTGGGAAGTCGTTTGCGTCTTCGGGGGAACCTTAGAAAACTTATCGGCAGGCCAGGGGACTTCCGAGCCTTCTGGGAAGGCCTTCTTCTTCTCACTTCCCCCCTCACTCGCCACCGAACGATCCCGCGGATGCGTCACCCCAACACACTAACATTACGTGTGCCTCCCCCCCCCCAGGGGCGACGCGCGCACCGAGAAACCTGATGGTATAACTACAGCAGGTTCCCGCCGTGTCGACCCTGGCGTTGGTTCCTGACACCGCGCTGGTTCGTTCAACCTTGAACGATCGGCGGCTTTTCGATCGCCAGATCGTTCCATATTGGGCCGATTCTGGGCCACTGGCGGCATTCAACCTTGAACGCACGCGGCGGGGTCGCGGCGAGTCGACACGCCGCGAACATGCCGTATGCGTCGTGGCGGGCGCTTTCTGGCCACACCGCTGGGGAGACGATACAAAACAAATACACATACTACATGTTCGGGTCGGACGCGTGCCTCCATGGAAGGCATATAATATTAATATGTCTTGTGAGCAGGGACCGACCGTCCCTGCATTCCTCTAGGCCTACCACGACATGTTCTTAGAACCCAAAGATGTTCTAAGAACGGAAACCACGTTCTTAGTCCATAAGCCCGATGCGTTAAAACAAGACAGTCCCAACCAAAATGTTCTAAGAACGGAAACCATGTTCTTAGACCATAAACCCGATGTGTTAAAACACGACAGTCCAAGCCAGAAATGTTCTAAGACCATTCCGTGGCGACCACAAAAGGTTCTGAGAACATTGTTTGGTAGGCCTAAAGGCACGCCAGGACGCTTCGCCACTGCTTGAGTCTCTGTGCGTCCTGTGCCCGTGCTCCAGCGTGCCGGCAGCCTTCGAGTCCGAGCCCTCCCGGAGGGTCAGCCGCTTCGCTCGCCCCCCAACCCCGTTCTCCGTCCGGCTCTTCTCGGGTGGGGAGCGGCGGAGACCTGGTTGACCCCAAAGGGGTTCCGGCTGAAAGGGAGTGGTGCAATCGACCTGGGGCAATTGTATTGCAAGTGTCTGACGCCGAACGATTGTATTGCATTGTATTGCGGCTCATGTATTGCACGCGGAAACCAGGCAATACACATGCGCACTGGAATGTAATGCACGCCCCAAATCCATTGCAACCCCACCAATCTATTGTACCAAATCTATTGCACCACCCTCTTTTCGCTGGACCCCTTTCTGGGTCAGAGGGGTGAGACGAAACCAAGACGAATCTCTGAGATCTGACGGCTCTGGCGGATGTGCATACTCAGAGCGCTCCGGAACGCCCTGCGAGCGTTCCGGAACGCTCTGGAACGGGGTTGTCCTCGTCCTGGCCCCGCCCGATAGAGGGCCCGAAGAAGCGGCCGCAAATCCTGGCATCGTGAGGTCTTCGACCAAGCGGGCAACAACTTCTGGGGCCAGCTCGGGGTGCACCATGGAGGCGTCCAGCCTCGATATCTGGGATGCGTCCGAGCAGCCCGACGAGGATACGTTCCTGAGTTGCCTTTCCTTTCTGAGCGGCCCTTCGTTCCGAGGAGGGGCCGCCGCAAGCCAAGCTCGCTCTCAGGCGTGCGGAAATGTGGTGTGATTGATGGCGGATGTGTGCCTCTTGACACGAGAATAGCAGCAAACTCCAGCGAGGAAGAAAAGGAGACGGAAAGGCATGGATGGCAAGACGTCGTTAACACAGGCAAGGCCAGCACAGATGCGCCAGCGCGGCGAAAATAATGTCGAAACAAGAAGAGCAGCACGAGGGAAAGTGGAGACACGAGGACTATATGAACAAACGACATGACGAGCGTGCATGTGCAAGCCGCCAGACCAGAAGAACTTGTAGGCTTATTGAAAGAGCAACCCTCTCCGCTTAGTCGTCGGCTCACTACACAAGAAAAATGGCAGAATTAACATGCGTCCCTAGCCCTCCAAAATCTCGAACTACTGCCGTGCCAACTGTGAGCCTGGCATACGTCTCCCATTCAATTTATTTGTTCTTCGCCCACTGACCGCATGCAGGAGAACTGAAGACAGCCGGTCCTCCAGGCGATTCCAGATGAGCCTTCTGCGTGCTCGAGTCCGTGATCAACACGTTCGAATGATTTCTTCTCGCGGCCTTCTACGCACGAAACACATTACAACGATGCGTTGACATATAGTACCGCACATCAATACACGACGACGCAAGAAGACGATGCACGGTACTGGATGCAATACATGTAGCCATGTGTAAGCATATGCCATCATGAAGCAACGCAGTACATGTTATGAGCGTTCCCCAAAAGCTGTGTTCAATGGCAGGCAAGCGCGAATAATTCCAGGAACGTTAAGCAGTATACAAAAACTTGGCATGGAAGGCATGGGATGCATAGAGTTGGCCCTAGGAGGATTTGACAACGACTATTTTCCCCCATGCGGTGGTTCATTCAATCCCACGTATCCCTTGGAGGAACAGCGAAATTAATTCAGATGGAACGAACCTGAATATATGTATTGTTGGTTCTCCTTTCGGTTTTTATTATTATTAAACTGATTTTTACTTGCGCCGACATGCCCAACTATCATGAATAAACGACAACACGCAAACAATACATAGTGTATGGCCGCGCTTCCGCAAGGTCGCCTGCAACATGATTGTGACCACGACTGCTCGTGGATGAAGCACATCGGGCAACTGCGAACAACACTGGCTACGACACACTGTGTGATCCGCACAACATAAATCAGCTGGCGGCGCAATCGAATGCAACCACACACGTCAGAATCCACGATGGGCCTGTCTGGCAAACACTGTCCGACATTCTGATTCGACAGCGCGGACCTCGATGAGTGCGTGATAGAACTGTGCAAACGTCTCATTTGTCATTATAAACGGTGTCAACTACGAGGTGCGAGCGATGTGGTGCAACTAACGGAATGTAAGGTGGCCCAGACGACGTTCTGCAATCCAACGTGGTGCAAGTCACGAGATGGAATATCCGCGGTGCAACGTCTGTGGTAAGGCATGTGTGGTGCAAACTGCGTGGCGCAACCTATGCGCTGCAATACGTGTGACGCCATCTATATGGTGCAGCCTATGTAGCGCGAGCTACGTGATGTCATCCCCGACGCGCGAATCATGCCGCGCTGTGTTTTTGGAAGTGCCGGTGTGTGGAATATGTGTGTACGTTTGTTTGTATGCAGATATATATATATTTATATATATATATATATAAAAACATGTGCATATGAAAAAAATCTGAATACTTGTATACTAGAACCACGCGCGCGCGCTTCGCGCGCGCTTGAGATCTAGTAACGGCTGCGCCACGTGTCGCTGCTCTCGTTTTCGCTCGTGTGATCATCGACGACGACGACGACAAGGGCGGCGACGAATGACGACGAAGGCGGCGACAACGATGACGACGACGACGATCACGACGACGACGACGACCGCCGCCACCACAACGACGACGACGTCGACGACGACGTCCACACAGTGACTCGGTCTGGAGCTATCCTCCTCCTCCTCCTCCTCCTCCTCCTCCTCCTCGTCCTCATCTTCTTCCCTCCTCTGTCCCTCCTCTGCGCCTCCACCTCCTCCTCCACCTCCGCCTCTCCATCCTCCTCCCCTTTGTCCTTGTCTTGCTCCCGCCCCCGCACGGGCCGAGTCAGGGCAGGATGTGGCCGCGGTCCCCGCCTGGGGTCCCGACGCACCGACGCCGACGACGCCGACGCCGACCTCCGCGGTCACACATAGACATCTGCTCCGGATGCGTCCCTCCTTCTCGCCCTCCTCCTCGCCCTCCTCCTCCTCCTCCTCCACCTCCTCCTCGTCATCATCATCATCATCTTCCTCCTCCTCCCCTTCCTCGCCCTCCTTCTCCTCCTCCTCCTCCTGCCCCTGCTCCTGCTCCTCCTCCTTCTCTCTCTTTCCCGGAACCTCTGGAGATCATGGGGCCAGGGACGGCCCCTGGAGGCTGAGAGCAATCAACAAGCTCCTTGAGCCCCGATCCTCGATGGATTGGTTCGCGACGGCGACGGCGACAACGGCTGCGACGACGTCGACGATGACGTCGACGACGGCGACGACGACAGTGACGACGACCGCGACGACGACGATGATGACAGCGACAACAACGACGACGACGACGACGGCGACGTCGGCGGGCACGGCGATGACGTCGGCGGCCACGACGACGACGAAAACGGAAGCCGGAAACGGCCGAGAACCTCCCGTCGTGTTTTTCTCACGACGAGAGAGTTCTGGGGGGAGTTGAAACAAGGAGGGAGGGAGAGATGCCCGATCACCCGACGTCGTTTTTTTTGCTACGTCGGCTCCCGGAGGTCGGGACGCCTTCCCCCTGGGGCCGGCTGAGGGCCACCGGTGGCCGCAAACGGCCGCAATCCTCCCGTCGTGATCCTTTGATGACGCGAGGGGGTCTGAGGGGAGGGGTGACAGGAGTAAAGTGCCCCGTCTTCGGGCGCCGTGTTTTTTTCGCTATACGTCGGCTCCTGGAAATCTGGCCCCTTCCACGGGACTGGCTTGTCATCCTGACCAAGAGTTCCGATATCGTGATGTTTTCAATGCTGGGTCCCTGGAGTGGCCCCGAGGTCCGGACAACTACCATAGGCCCAGCATTTCGTCCAAAATGTTTGACGGTCCTGGGGCCCGTTGGGGGCGTCAGGATGCCGAGAGTTGTCCGGAAGCGTCGGGATCGCCCAGAGTACCTCAGGGCGTCTGGGGAGAGGGCTCTCGGAAGCCTTTTGGGGCTTCTTGGCGGCCCCTTGGGGCCCGCTTGGTTTTTTTTTCCGGGGGCTCGGGGAGGTTTCTTGGGGTCTCCAGGGCGCTTTTTGGCGAGGAAGGCTCGAAATGTCGGGTGGGGTACCCCTCGGGGCTGTGTGGGGAAGCTGTCCCAGGGCCCTCTGGGCCTGTCTTGGGGGCCCCCTGGACAGTCGAGGGCTCCTCTTGAGCCGTCTTGGAGGCCTCTTGGAACTCTCGTTGGCCGTCTTGGGGCGATCTCCTGGGGCCGTCTTCGACGCGGTCGACGCCGAAGCGGTGAACATCGTAAAACGTATTCCGAAAGGAATGGGGCCATTTTTGCTTCTGGAGGCGCTCTTGGGAGTCTTCTTGAGGGACTCTTGGGCCGTCGTGGGGGCTTCCGGAGGCCGTCTTGGAGCCATCTTCGGCATCTTGGAGCGACATTTCGGGGATTCTGGGTCCTCTTGGACGTTTGGGGACCTCCTGGGACTCTCGGGTGGCGTTTCGGGGCTGTCTGGGGCTGTCTCGGGGGGGACTCAGAGGCCCCCCTGGGCCCTCTGGGACCGTCTTGGGGGCTTCCTGGAAAGTCGAGGGCTCCTCTGGAGCTGTCTTAGAGGCCTCTTGGAATTCTCTTTGGTCGCCTTGGGGCGACGTTGTGGGCTCCTGGGGCCGTCTTCGACGCGGTCGACGCCGAAGCGGTGAACATCGTAAAAAGTACGGTTTCCGAAAGGAACGGAGCCATTTTTGCTTCTGGAGTCGCTCTTGTGACTCCTCTTGGGGGACTCTTGGGCCTTCTTGGGGGCTTCCGGAGGCCGTCTTGGAGCCATCTTCGGCATCTTGGAGCGACATTTCGAGGATTCTGGGTCCTCTTGGACGTTTGGGGACCTCCTGGGACCCTCGGGTGGCGTTTCGGGGCTGTCAAGGGCTGTCTCGGGGGGGCCCCAGAAGCCCCGGTCCCCCCATGCGCCGTCGAGGTCGCCGCCCCGGGCGCCCCGGCCTCGTGCACGGGGATACACACACACACACACATATATATATATATATATATATATATATATGTACATAGACACGTCTACATACATACATATGTATATATACAATTATACCTATATATTTAGGTTATAGTATATATCATTACATTATAATATACATGATTGAATTATATAATACCTCAGTATATGTATTATATTATTATCATACAACAGTATACTATATTATACTATGTTATATTTTTATTACGTGGTATCATATCATACCATATCATGTCATATTATAATATAATGTATGGCATTGTATTATATCATATTATATGATTTATATCATATTATATTGTTTTACAGTATACTATTTCATATGATATTGTATTATACTATTTTACATTAGCTTGTATCATATTGTGATATATTATAAGAAATATCAAATTTTCATTGTATGACACCATATAAATTATATTGTATTATATTGGGTTTTATTATATTATATGATGTGACATTATGTATTATCTTTTATGTGTGTGCTTTGCAAACTCCGTGGTGGGATTCGCAATATGAGAAATTACACGAGAGAAACAGCTCAGTCAGTGGATGGTTTGGAGATTGGTGATATGAATGTTGAGATCGACTGTAAGATCGAAGGTGAGATCGAGTGGAATCAATAGTGAGAACGATTGTATGGTCGCTCGTGGGACCGATCATGAAGTCGATTCAATGAGATCGATAGTGGGATCGATCGTTAGATCTCTCGTGCGATGTATAGTGAGATCGATACTGGGATCGATAGTGAGATGGAAAATAAGATCGATAAACAAATGGGTACTGAGATAGATGATGAGACTGCTAGATCAAGAGATCGACCAGGAACCCGGGAACCCGGGAACACCGCCGCCCACCGAAATCAGTCCCGAACCAGTAACTGAGAACTGGGGAACCCAAAACCTGGAACCTGGGAACCTGGCCGCCTACCGAAATCGGCCCAGAACGTTCGCCAAAGCCTTCAATCTCCGCTAAGACCCCTTCAATACAAGCACTGCTCGCGCTAGCGTTCCGCCCACCCACCCGCAACGTAATTGGCAAAACCAATTCGGCCGACTGGGGCGTTTCAGCGCATCTCGACGGCGCGCTTGCGCGCGCGCGGTCAAGCTCAAATCGATCAGCTGGTTTGGCACCACTGGTGCAACCGCGATGGCACTTGCCGTCGGGAACTTCCAAACGCGTCTCCCAAGGCAAGTATCATGATGACGTCGACAACGGCTGCAGCCGTGATGATAAATACAAAGACTATGGTGGTGGCGATGATGACGAAGACGACGGCAAGATCAATGACGACGCCAATGCTGGAGACGACAATGATGACGACGATGATGATGCTGATGCTGATGCTGATGACGATGCTGATGATGATGAAGATGATGCTGATGCTGATGCTGATGATGATCATGATGATGACTGTGATGGTGATGATGATGATGCTGATGCTGATGATGATGATGATGATGATGATGATGATGATGTCCATGAGTCGGCTGTGGATGTGATTGTGCTAGCGATGGCGCCAATTCTGGTGTTTGACGATGACGATAAGGGCAGTGATGCAATGGCGCTGGTGAGGGCGATGAGGAAGTGCGCGGGCAGGCATTCCAAACACATGGCAGATGTGTTGTTGGATATCTCTTGATGTTGTCTTGTAGTGTGCCTTTGAAGAACAATATATAGAAAAGCTGCGAAGACATCGAGTGTTGTAGGATCTCGGCAAGCGAGCATGTGTCCCGCAAGGTATTATTCGATACGGATTCGTGCACCTGGCGCATGCTAGATCCACGCGGATACGACGCGCTGTGGTATTAGAATGCGGACCCTGGACCACATTGATATAGCCTTGGTTTGGTTTCCCAACGAGTTCAGCAAGTGCTAGCAGGCCGAACATAAGGAATCTGGTTGATGGAGAACTCATTGGTTGATAATGTTTCCATGAATGGTGATTGGTATGAATTCGACATCGGCGCGCGCGTGGACTCTGTGGACGCTTTGCAAGGAGTTCTTACACGATGGTCTCCTCAGACAAACAAATGTGCGCGCATGGTTTCAAAATGATGAAGGGGGTCAATGCCAACTGGGCTGGCATGGCATCAACCGTTACTTAGGAAGAACGGTGGTGCGAACAGCATTTGGGGAGATACAAAGATACCCTAGGGGGATCGCTGTGTCGATGCCCGAGGCAGTGGTTGGGTCCACGGTTTATTTATTTTACAAGAGAAACTTTGAAATACAAAGCATGGTGCCGTTCACGTGGAGCTAGCTGTCTACGGGGTAACAGCCAGGACGGCGCAAGAGGAGCCCTGGACGGCCCAAGACGGCTCAAGAGAACCCCAGGCTGTCCCAAGAAAGCCTCTGGCCTCCTCCTCATCCTCCTCCTCCTCCTCCTCCTCCTCCTCCTCCTCCCCTTCTGCTCCCCCTACTCCTGCTTTCCTCTGCCTCATTCTCCTCCTCATGCTTCTCCTCCACATCCTTCTCCCCCCTCCTCCTCCCTCATCCACCTCCCCCACCCTTCCTCCACCTCCCACTCATCCTCCTCCCCCTCCTCCTCCCCCTGCCCCCCCCCCCCCCTCGTTTCCATCTTCGTCGTTCTCAGGGTCGGCGGCGCTGGCCGCAAGGCCTTCGCAATACAAAGGATGGTGCCGTTCACGTGGAGCTAGCTGCGTACGGGGTAACAGCTAGAATGCCGCATGTGCAGACGAATGCACATCTAGTGCGCAAGCGACGTAGCGCGAGATATGCAGTGCAATACCAGGTGGCACAGGGCGGGGCAACCCGTGTGATGCAATCCATGTGGTGCAAACAGTGCAGTGCGAACTACATAATGGCGCGGGTATATACACACCCATATATAAATACATGTAGTGCAAGTTCCGTGGTGCAATCGATGGCGCGCACGCTACACAGGGTATCGGGAGACCAAAAGGCACCGATACCGCTACTCCCCGGACCTCTCCTGGGGTGCGTTCTGACCAGGAATTCGATTCGAATCCAGCGGTGGCGACGAGGGCCGGCCGCCCAGGAGGCCCAAGAAGGGGACACCGAGGGAAGTCTAGAGGTGTGGGTACCTCTTCATCCTCTGAAGGTACTGTAGGTGGGGCACCCTGCGTGGCAGCAGCAGCGAAAAAGCAATCTGCGCACGAGGCGCGAGCCCCGCCGGCGAAAACGGTGCTCGCACGAGGCGCCCACGGGCGGCGACCGGGCGAAGACCCATCCCAGACACAACCGCCGCGTGAGGTTTTTTTTTTGTCCGGCGCGCGCTGACCGAGCGTGACGCAGCAGGAAGCCGCGCCCACAGCACCGAGGCGCCGTGCCCAGGACGCCTTCCAAGAGAAGCCCAGCCCCGAGACCCCATGACGCCCATTGATGTTTGGTGTGGGAACGACACGCTTTCCATACAGTCGGCCTTGATTGGACAGGACACGCGAGAGGACACAAGACCCTTCCGAGGGCCACATCGCCATAGGAGTGTAAGAAGGCACGTGTCGCGAGGCACAGGACACAAGGGTACCCTTGAGCTGGCAGGGTCGATCTACCAATCCGGGCCGACTGTAGCAAAACCATCGAAACCCAAGAAGCCCAGGGCACCCTGGAGGCAGGCTGGGTGTCTTTTGGCATGGGCCCCTGCTGTACGGCCAGCGCACGGGGCGCACGCGAGACGCCCGTGGGCGGCCACCGGGCGAACACCCCCACGCGAAGGAACCTCTCCAGCGCACGGGGCGTGCACGAGACTGAAGGGGCCCTGGGACACACAAGTGAAGACACACAAGTAACAGGATGCCCCATCTGTTCGTATATTTTCGGGGTTTTCGTCTCCCCCCCACTTCCCACATGTTTCCACAGTGTCAAGGAAATCGAGGATTAATTGTGTCTGTGTCTTTCTTTCCCTCCTGAGAGGCGCCCCCCGGCGGACACCAGGCCAAAAACACCCCTAGACCCCGATTGCTCTGGGCGCCCACGAGGCACCCACGGGCGGCAACCAGGCGACACCCCTTCTGCGCGGACACGCCAAATTTCTTCAACAACGCCATACGACGCCCTGGCCCCCTGGCACGTGGAGACGTGCTAGATGCAAGTGCTGGCTGGCATGGTTTCTGAAGTCTTCTAAGAATCCCCCCCATCTCGTCAGCTCCCCGTCACAATCCCTCTTAACATACTGCCTGTTCGCGCTCAAGAGACCAGGGTGCATCCCAGACGGCCCAAGATGGCTTCAAGACTGCCTAAATACCTTGGCCTGACGACGGCCCAAAATGGCCTCAAGACGGCCCACAAGACTTTCGAACCGGCACCAGAAAACCTCAAGAACCGTCCCAAGAAAGCCATGAGAAGCAAATATCTGTGATTGTCGTTGGGTTGTTCAATGTGTTTGTCGTTCCCACCCTTTCCAGCTTCCGGTGCTCCAAGATGACCCAGGAAGCCTACAAGGCCGCCCCCAGACGGCCCCAGAAGCCCCCAAGATGGCTCCAAGACGGCCCAGGAGCACTCCTCCTCATCTCACCATCGTCATCGTCATCAACACCATCATCATCATCATCATCATCATCAGCATCATCATCATAATCATCATCAGCATCATCATCATCAGCATCATCATCACCATCATCACAATCACCATCAACACCATCAGTATCACAATCAGCATCATCATTTTCATGGCCACCCACATCATCAACATCATCCTGACCACCATCATCAACACCATCATCATCATCATCATCATCATCATCATCATCATCATCGTCATCATCAAGTTAATCATCATCATCGTCATCATAATCGATACTAACATTCCCATCACCATCCTCGTCCTGATCATCACCAGCACCGTCACGAAAATCATCAGCACCATCATCCTCGACATCAGCATTGTCGTCATCTGTATCATCACCACCGTCGCCCCTGACGAGCTCACAGACTTCGAAGTCTCACACAAATCTGAGACAGCCGAGGTGTCGCGCGTGACGGCGTCAAGCCCCTTCCTCCCATAATCCCCCACGTCGGTCCTACGAACAACGGGCCACGTGTTGAGGACCCGAAGAACGGAGATCAAAGATGTCACACGGTAGGACCTCCGTGCTCCCTCGCGCACAGACCACCGAGAAAACTGGACTGGCATGGAAGCGGGATTTGCCGCAGGCAGCTGCTGGGTAAGCATTCCCAAAGGCAAGCAGTTTGAGACTATCCGAGAATACTAGCCGCACAGGCAATAACATGACGGGAGCACCACGTGCAATACATAAATTACGCGACTCTATGCACGCAACCAAGAATATCCACGTACCATTCCGCCAAAACGCAACACGAAACAAAATAAACCAACAGCAAATACCCGTGAACCCTCCAAACAAGTGCCAACGCTAAACGATAATGCGGGATCGGAACATAACGATGGAGCAACATCAATAACGCGTACAACATTGCACATCGTTCACTTCGAATCATCCGCAAACCAATTGGTGACCGTCGTGAGATGTCTTTCCTTCTCTCTCACATGTTATCTCTCTCTCTCTCTCTTTCTGTCGCTCTTCCTCCCTCAATCGTCGTTTATATACTGATGTGTGTATCTATGTATACGTATATGTATGTGCATGTGCAGCTATACGCGCACATGTATACATATGTCTGCGTGTGTCTGTTTATGTCCATATAAATGAATCGCGCGCGCGCTCGATCATTATCATTCTCTCCCATGGCCTGGAAATCTCGGGAGATCGCCAGAGATCTTCTGATGTGTCCCGGGGAGGCCCAAAGGTCTTCGGAACCCCCCTGGAATGTAGTGGGGAAGAAGAGGCCAGCCTTGCCGTCGTACTTGTGCGCCTTCTTCCACTCCTCCAAATGTGCCTCGGGGATCTGCTGACCCGGGTCAATGCAAATCCGGGCCAGTCGGGCTGATCCTGCAGGATCCTGCGCGCTGGCCCAGGTCAGTGCAGCCCTGGCCTTGCAGAATCCTGCAAGTTCTGGCGCTCTGGCTGGCCCCCGTTCGCATATATACCCCCGTCTCAAGTTCGATGCCCGCTCTGGAGACCTTCCTGGAGCCACTGGCTCCACTCCACTGGAGAAGTCGAAGCTGCGCGTCGAACGCCCATCGCCTTGAGTCGAACTTGAGCCGACCCTGAGTCGAACCTGGATCGAATGGGGGTCGCACCGGAGCCGAACAGCTGGGCCCAGAAGGTACCCGAAACGAGCATCTGGCTCAAACACCCCGAGTGTGGAGAAACCAGAAGGTACCAATACCGCTACCCCTTGGACCTTTCCCGAGGTGCGTTAAGACCAGGACTTCGAGGCGAATTCAGCGGTGGCGACGAGAGCCTCCCAGGAGGCCAAAAAAAGGCAAAACGGGCGAGGTGGCAGAGGCATGGGTACCTTCTCCTTCCCTGAGAGTGCCTCTGCCAGGCTCCTCACCGGGAACAGCGACGCGCCATCGGCTTCCATGCCTCGCGCGCGCTCCCTCCTCCCTCCTCCTCCCTCCTCCTCCTCCTCCTCCTCCTCTTCCTCATCCTCCCCCTCCTCCTCCTCCTCCTCCTCCTCCTCCTCCTCCTCCCTCCTCGTCGTCCCGCTCCCTCCTCACTCCTCT